CACGCTCAATTGGACCTTGCCCCTTTCTGGTCCGTTCCAATGGTACCATGAAAATGACTTCCCATTACTTCGAATTAAATCATATAAACAATTGATGGTTAAAAAACTTAAATAGAGAAAATAAAGTTTTGTGGATTAACCTTGCTTCAAATAATCAACTGAAGCTGCAGTAGTGCCCCCGTCGAATTTACCGAATTTTCTTCTATAAGCTAGGTCCTCAAACAAATTGGTACAATTAGCCAAGTTTACTCGTACCTCTATGCAAATCTAGTGCTGCTTACCTTTTTTTGGAACGAAGTGTTACATTTTTTCTCGAACATGAAGGAAAGCTACGCATCATTATGTTATGAAGTATATAAGAAAAAAACAATTTGCTACTTATTTGACAGTATATAGATTGAATTTTGTAGGAACCATCACAAATTCTTGTCACAGATCCTATAAATCATTATTAAATAACTTGATGAGAACAGACTGATTTTTTTTTTTCCTGATGAAGGGTTATTTTTTGTTTTCCTTTTCGGTGTATTACAACTTGTAATGTTGTTTTTAATCCTTTTTTGATGTTTTTATAATAGCACAATAGAGGCTGAAAAAGTAATTCTAAAGATGTCTGCGTCAGCAAAAAAAGATCAGTTTTCTGAAATGAATGCATGGACAAAAGCAATTCAAACATTCTGTTCACATCGATTTCAGTTAGTCTGAACCTTACGCTTCCCAGACCTGAATTCTCATCCCCAGGCCGGTTCCAAACACATTTCACCACGCAAATGACGAAACATAGATAAATTATTATAAGCATCATCCTGCACCAGGAATCCACTGAAAAGTGGAGAAGACAAAATTATTTATCATATATCTATGATTTGCTCGATCTAGCGATGGTTCAGTTCCACAGCCTTCAAAAGATCACTCACCTTTTTAGGGAAGTACTCTTTCTCATCATCTCCTAAATGCCTCATGGATCCCCATTTATCTGAACCTCATGCATGTTATCCTGCGTGGAAGCTGATAGCTCCACACGACAATGACGTTTATATTTTAACTTAATTCAAATCAAATGTCATGTCTTTGATTATGAATACATGAAATGAAACAGGTTGAATTCCAGGACAAGCAACGTATATAACTACAGCTTGAGTTACCTCTCAGTCCCCCTCTCCCCCACCTCTTTCTAGACCATTATTAGTACATCATTGGCTCATAGCATAGCATGAACATGACTAGAACCGTTTTGTAATAAGAACTTGATTTATGCAAGAGCTGTAGTGTATTGACAGATCATACGTTGTTCGTCTGTATATTCTAGGAAATGGTAATACGAGCACCGCAAGATTATCTGAGTCGTTGGGTTTGAATCGGACGGCCAAGATCGAAATCCCCTCATGAGTTTCTAGATCCAACACTCTAGATTCTAGAACCATGAAGCAATGCAAGCAACGCAAGAAAAGTACCATGGCAAGTACGCACGTACACGATTCCAGGAGTACAGATTACAAACTCTGGCCATTCCCCATATAACTGAAATTGCGGCTACCTTTTGCTCATCCTATGTTCAGACATGGAGGCAAGGAAACGACAGGGGAAATAAAGTTTTTTTCCATCATTTTTTTACATAAAAAGTTTGGCTATCTGATCTAGAGAGGGAAGTGCAGTCCAACACACAGTTTGATTGGATTGGTCAAAGGGATTGCTTCCGGTTGGGAGTAGAATATGCGGTGGTGACAAGTAGAGCTGGAGAAAGTTCAGTTATCTTTTCAGCAATGCTTTCTGAAGCCCTTTCTCAATATCTCTGATGCCAGTTGCCACATTCTTTTCCCTGCTCTAGAGTCTAAACTCTAAAACATGTTAAATCTCCTTATTATCTCTCCCTACCCTTTTGATCCTGTTGTCAAACAATTAGAGGAGCATGCAGCTACAAGCCTACAAAGGGGCAAACTTTTTATAATTATATGCAAGCTGAATATATGCTATGTCCTAGAGATGCTAGGGAGTGGCTTGCCAATCTTGTTTTGCCTAGTATACTATAATAGTTTATGTCAGTTCAGGCTGAAGTTTCTGAGGCAGTTGCCAAGCGTTGTGCAGATTGGGATTCCCTCCTGGCAGGTTGTGATTCTCGTTGGCCTTAAAAAATTGACCAAGGTGACTAGGTTTTCTTCTGCTAACACGGTTTCAGTAGAAAATTGGAGATCTTGTCTAACTAACCAATCACCATTGTTGAATTATTAGGCTCTCTCAGTCTTAAACCTGTATGGCAGAGTCAATTGTACAACACCAGAAGCTATTACTTAGCTTGATGCATCATAAAGTAGCACTATATTCCATTTCCATAGTGGGCAACAGTCAAGGCTGCAATCTAGTGCCTAGCAGAGTAACTTAATTGTTAGGAGTTAGTACCTAGGGTAAAAAAAAAGTTCCTTCTTTTTCTTGAAAATATAAATGAATGTTTATTCATGACAAGATATACTTTTTAAGTTGACATGCAGGGTCAACACAGAGCTTTTAGTTCACTGGGGGCAAAGTTGGGTAAGGGAGCCTTTTCCTTGACGCAGGAGATGAGCTCCTGAACCTGTCCCCTGCCAAATACGTCGCATTTTGATTTCAGCGCATAGATGAAAAACATGGGTCAAATGTTTTAATATGTTCTTTCAGCTTCTATACCTAAAAAGATACTTTGTATTCAAGTTACACTTTAACATTTGTTTAATATAAGGTAGCCTTCTTACCCACCTCATCTGAAGTGCTTTTGCTTAGAATATGTCAACAACGATCTTCTAGTGGTCAACTAGATAATATATATTGTTCCATACCACCTGTACCAATTGCTCATCTTTGAAATCTCAGAACTGAATATTTTTCAAGTAGGTATACAAGATAAACCTGAAATCCAATTTCAGAAATAAAGTTCTTAATTGTGTATAAAAGAACAGTTTGAATAGTATGATGTGTACATGTAATCATATCTCAGATCAGAAACAAGGACAGGGTTAGGCAGAAGTTGGACTGCTCAAGCAACATGTCACCTTCAGCACTTGAGGCGAGCACTAGGCAAATATTGTTGGCAGAACCCACAAATGGACCATGGTTGACAGCACCACAAAATTTCTTTTCGTCGATTTGCTGTCCCCGATATCGGCTCAACAACACGTGATCTCATGGATGGCCAGGCTGATTCCCATTCAGCATGTTTTGGATTAACTCGCGAATCTTGTGGGGCTACTGAAATCAGGGGGGAGTCGTTTCAGTTCACAAAGTCTATCATACACTTAGTGTGAAATGATGTCACTAGCTTGTTCCTTGAACAGAAAGCAAAACTTTCAAATCTCGCAGAAAATAGGCGGGCAAGCAAACTACTACCTATCAGCAGTTAGGTGAATGAGGACCAGTCTTGTGGAGAAGAGCTGGGGGAAAATACTGGGCGTTTCCTCCATGGAGAAGCCACCTCCAGCAAACTACTCCGCATCGTGACGTAGCGGCCTCGGCAATTCAGCATCACAAGTCTGCAAGAGTTGAAACCCACAATCACCACGACAATGTGAACGTCAGAATTGAGCAGCAACCATTAGTGAAAGCTAAAGCCTGAAAATGCTCTTTTCTTCAAAGCATGATGCATCACATTTGCACCTTCTGACCCTTCCCCTTTTCATGTTGCTTTCTCAGTCCCTGCATACTGCAGTGCAGCCCACTGTGGATGCCTTTTGGGGTGGGGCTGCATGCCTCTGATGACCAAACCTATGGGCGTATGGCGATCTTGGCCATGAAGCAACTCTATGACTCTTGGCCACCCCTGAGGCCTGATCCATCCATCAATCCACCCAGTCACCCACAGTGACAGGATCAACCAAAAGAAATGCTCATATTAACCACTGGTAAATTGTCGTTGAGGTAAAAGTAACTCCAATCATTCAAAAGCTAACTGCCTTTTAAAGAAGTCAAAGAACATATCATGCAATGCAATGCAATGAACCAGCCTATATGTCTAATGGGAAGACAGATTAGGCAAAAGCAGGGACGCCAGAATTAGGCTGTGGTGTGGTGCCTTTGTCTCGGGTGCAGCCGGGGGACCCTGCCATCCCATGGATCTGCCAACGATCTGATCCTCTTCCCTTGCCCTCTGCCAATCTCTGCCCATCACGGATCGGGGAAGATCAGGTAGGGCATATATTCAGATAGCGATGGGCTGTTTAGCGATGGGCTGTTTGATCCTTTTCAGGTGTTATTAGGCCTGTCTGTTCTCAAGATCTTTCGGTCCTCCAATGGCCAGGACTAGTCCAGGAGAAAAGAAAGACATGAGAGGCAGCCAGGGGAGCTTCTCATCTCAGACATAAGTGCAGTGCTCGCTTTCCCTTGTGCTGACAGAGCATGCATGCTCGATGAGTCATCTGCAGACAACTTTTGCACGTGGGGATGGCCGGATGGGCCACATGGAGGTGGAGCACTGAATTGGTGGCGCACCAATGATTCGGTTCAGGTCGGCAGCAGGGGTGTTCCTGAATCTTGAGCGTGCAGTGCTTACATTACATGTGCTAAATAACTGCTAGTATAACATAATGCTTTGCCTTTGCAGCGCCAGTGTCTGACTCTGATTGCTGGACATGTGGTCGTGCAGAGCTTCAGGACTCCAGTCTCCAGTTCCTTAGGACTCAAAAGAAAGCGACTGCAGTCTGCAGACATGCATGTTCTTGCTTTCTTTGCATTCCGAAGACAGATACCCGGGCAAGAACTGGATGTCGGAATTACAATCTTATAAATTTCCAACCATACATTGCTGAACCTTTTGGTGAACCTACTTGCAACAAGATCGACCACGGTCCATGGTCGGCTGTACCAACAGGAATCAAGTTTGGACTATACAGAATCGTGTATGCACTCAGCACAAGTATATACCTCCTAAACTGTCAAACTGGACCTATCAGGACAACAATTGACCAAAGACGAATGCCTGTCATCCGCTTGGAGGGCCAAAACTGGGATGTCACTTGGGTATATATGGTGTACCTTCAATTTCGCTGCTCAATTAGTTCAGGGATAAGCCGGAGCAAGAACCCCAGCTGCTGTTGCGAGAAGGCCTGATGCTTTGCACCATCCACACCACCACCACTCTGGCCGAGGTCCGATTTACCGAAACCCGCCACAGCATTTGAGATCTCCTCCACCCGATCAACGATGACGCCATGTACGCCCATCAGGTACTGGATATAGACTGCCTCCGACACGTTACTGAGAATTATGCAACCAAGATTCATAGGAAGGTTGTAAGATGATTGATGAACAGGCAATGGTTGACGGACACAAGAAACGTGATAACGATATGCTGCTTACTTGAGCTGCCCATATGTCAGAAGTGTAAGGTTAGATTCTTGTGCTCTGACAACTGCAGACGGGTTCTTGAGAACGCCTCTCACTTCTGACACGATCCCATGCAGATCATATTCTAGGCATACCCGGATGGCATCATCAAGTGAATTCCTTCTTGAATCATGGTGTTTGGATGTCCCTCCTTCTGTTAGGAAAAGTACCTAATGCAAAATACAGAAAAGGAGAGATGATTATTTTCAAAGTTAAGAAAAGTACCTAATGCAAAATAGGGAAAAGGATGGAGATGGTTATTCTGAATGTCGAGATGTATCTAGTAATGATGTTGTTCAATTCAGCCCAAAACTTCATGTAAAGAAAAGTACCTAATGCAAAATAGGGAAAAAGATGGATATGACTATTCTGAATGTCAAGATCGAGATGTATCTAGTATGAAGTTGTCCAGTTCAGCCAAAACCTCATTTACTCAAATGTGGAAACAGGAGTCGGCTGCAATTATTTATTTCATTGTGTACTACCAGCCACTCAGACACGAGGCGGCCTTCTTATTGCGGTCAATGAGGATTACTTCCAGCTCTCCGACCAACATTTATCTACGCATGCAGTGACTGCAACAGTCACCATGAGGGCAGATGGAACCAAATGGCAAATTATGGTTGTCTATGGCCCACAGGGAGACGCCGAAAAATTACAATTTCTACAGGAGCTTGCAGCTATTCCTTGCCCAGCCCATGGGAGATGGCTCATCCTAGGAGATTTTAATCTCATCTACCAGGCAGAAGACAAAAACAACTCCAGTCTAAACCGTCGCCTCATGGCCTCCTTCAAAGCGGTCATCGACGACCTGAACCTAAAAGAGATAGGCCTCAACGGACGTCGTTTCACTTGGAGCAACGAGCAAGACAATCCGACATTAACAAGAATCGACAGGTTATTTTGCACCACTGATTGGGAATTAACCATCCCGACATGCTTTCTCCACTCCTTGCCTTCTCTCATGTCCGATCACACCCCGCTACTCCTGCAGGGAGAACTCGAGCACTGCCACAACCGGACCTTCCGCTTCGAAAATTTTTGGGTCAAGATGGATGGTTTTAGGGACTTGGTGGAACAAGTCTGGAGTAAACCTGTGCACTCTTTGTTACCCATCAAACGGTTACAACAACAACAACAACAAAGCCTTTAAGTCCTAAACAAGTTGGGGTAGGCTAGAGTTGAAACCCAGCAGAAGCAATCAAGGTTCAGGCACGTGAATAACTGTTTTCCAAGCACTCCTATATAAGGCTAAGTCTTTGGATATATTCCATCCTTTCAAGTCTCCTTTTATTGTCTCTACCCAAGTCAACTTCGGCCTTCCTCTGCGTCTCTTCACGTTACTATCCTGGCTTAGGATTCCACTATGCACCGGTGCCTCTGGAGGTCTCCGTTGGACATGTCCAAACCATCTCAACCGGTGTTAGACAAGTTTTTTTTTCAATTGGTGCTACCCCTAATCTATCACGTATATCATCGTTCCGAACTCGATCCCTTCTTGTATGACTGTAAATCCAACGCAACATACGCATTTCCGCGACACTTATCCGTTGAACATGTTGTCTTTTCGTAGGCCAACATTCTGCACCATACAACATAGCAGGTCTAATCGCAGTCCTATAAAACTTGCCTTTTAGCTTCTGTGGTACCCTTTTGTCACATAGGACACCAGATGCTTGGCGCTATTTCATCCACCCTGCTTTGATTCTATGGCTAATATCTTCATCAATATCTCCGTCTCTCTGTAGCATTGATCCTAAATATCGAAAGGAATCCTTCCTAGGCACTACTTGACCTTCCAGACTAATATCTTCCTCCTCCTGAGTAGTAGTGCCGAAGTCACATCTCATATACTCAGTTTTAGTTCTACTGAGTCTAAAACTTTTGGACTCCAAAGTCTCCTACCATAACTCCAGTTTCTGATTCACTCCTGTCCGACTTTCATCAACTAGCACTACATCGTCCGCGAAAAGCATACACCAAGGGATGTCCCCTTGTATGTCCCTTGTGACCTCATCCATCACTAAGGCAAACAGATAAGGGCTCACAGCTGATCCTTGATGTAGTCCTATCCTAATCGGGAAGTCATCCGTGTCTTCATTAATTGTTCGAACACTAGTCACAATATTGTTGTACATGTCCTTAATGAGTCTGACGTACTTCGTTGGGACTTTATATTTATCCAAAGCCTACCACATAACATTCCTTGGTATTTTATCATAAGCCTTCTCCAAGTCAATAAAAACCATATGTAGGTCCTTCTTCTTCTCCCTATATCGCTCCATAACTTGTCTTATTAAGAAAATGGCTTCCATGGTTGACCTTCCGGGTATGAAACCAAATTAGTTCATATAGACCCGCGTTATTGCTCTCAAGCGATGCTCGATAACTCTCTTCTATAGCTTCATAGTATGGCTCATCAACTTAATTCCCCGGTAATTAGTACAACTTTGAATATCCCTTTTATTCTTGTAGATCGGTACCAATATACTTCTTCTCCACTCGTCAGGCATCTTGTTTGATCGAAAAATATGGTTGAACAGCTTGGTTAGCCATACTATAGCTATGTTCCCGAGGCATCTCCACACCTCGATTGGGATACCATCCGGTCCCATCGTCTTGCCTCCTTTCATCCTTTTCAACGCCTCTCTGACCTCAGATTCTTGGATTCTCCGCACAAAGCGCCTATTGGTGTCATCAAAAGAGTCATCCAACTGAAAGGTTGTGTCCGTATTCTCACAATTGAATAATTTATCAAAATACTCTTGCCATCGATGTCGGATCTCATCCTCCTTCACCAAGAGATGTTCCCTTTCATCCTTAATGCACTTAACTTGATTGAAGTCCCTTGTCTTTCTCTCACGAACCCTAGCCATCTTATAAATGTCCTTCTCTCCTTCCTTCGTACTCAAATGTTGGTAAAGATCCTCGTACGCTCTACCCTTTGCCACACTTACAGCTCGCTTTGCAGTCTTCTTTGTCACCTTGTACTTCTCTATGTTGTCCACACTCCTGGACACAAAATTAGCGCGAGTGGCCAAAGGCCTTAAGCGGTGGTGCAGGGAGAAGGTTGGGGACACACGGTTGCAGCTGGCCATCGTCAAAGAGGTGCTGTTACAGCTTGAGGCAGCACAGGAATTTAGGACACTCACACAGCAGGAACTCGACCTGCGCCGGCGTCTAAAAATCAGAAGCACCAGCTTAGCTGCCATTGAAAAGTCAAGGATTAAACAGCGGGCTAGGCTCACATACATCCGTAGCGGAGATGTAAATACAAAATTCTTCCACATTCGGGCCAGCACAAGATTGAGGAAGAATTATATCCATTGTGTGTAGTCTGCACACAGATGGGAGGGTGGCGACTACACACAATGACAAAGAAAAAATCATGGTGGATTACTTTTCAGCACACCTAGGCTTACATACACCGAGGTCAGTGATGTTCAGCTCGTCGGCACTCGGTTATGTCCCAAGGGATTTATCGGCTCTCGAGGCCCCGTTCACGCAAGATGAGATCAAAGAGACAATAAAGTCCATGCCACCCGACAAGGCGTTGGGCCCAGATGGTTTCACGGGTGCCTTCTTCAAAGCGTGCTGGGACATCATCAAAGACGATGTTACTGCTGCGGTGAATAGCTTGTACATGCTAAACTCCCAAGACTTTGAGCTCCTAAACACGACAAACATCATCCTACTCCCAAAGAAAAGGGATGCCTTGCGAGTTACAGATTTTCACCCAATCAGTCTCATTCATAGCATAGCGAAGATTTTTGCCAAGTTACTTGCAAACAGGTTGGCGCCGTTGCCGGACTCCTTAGTTTCGAAATGCCAAAGCGCATTCACCAAAAGGAGGAGCATCCACGACAACTTCCTATATGTTCAAAACACAGTACGAGCAATGCAAAAGATGAAGCTGCCCACGCTGTTCCTAAAACTTGACATACACAAGGCCTTCGATACGGTCAGCTGGAGCTACCTTCTGGAGGTATTGTAGGCCTTAGGGTTCGGACCACGCTGGCGGGAGTGGGTATCGATCCTTTTCCGCACGATGTCGTCGAGAGCGCTGCTAAATGGACAACAGGGCCTAGCTTTCAGTCACAACAGAGGGGTTCGACAGGGCGACCCTCTATTGCCCATGTTGTTCATTCTCACTATGGACCCGCTTCAATGCCTGCTAGACATGGCAACACAGCAAGGCGTCCTCTCTGCTCTTCCTCTATCTACGGCCAGGTGGAGGACCTCCATGTATGCTGACGATGCGGCTATCTTCATTAACCCGATCAAGGACGACTTGGACTCCATCACGACGATCCTCCAGGAATTTGGTAGGGTCTCAGGCTTACATATAAATCTGCAAAAGAGTTCCGTCCACCCGATCAGATGCCAAGACATCGATCTAGACCATGTGTTAGCCTCCTTTGCAGGGGCAAGAGAATCCTTCCCGTGCCACTACTTGGGACTGCAGCTCCATACGAGATCCCTGCAGAAGGTCCATGTGCAACCGCTCATTGAACACATAGGGCAGAGGTTACCTAGTTGTAAAGGTAGAATACTCAACAGAGCGGGCAGACTTACTTTGGTCATCTCAGTGCTATCCTCGATGCCTACCTATCACTTCACAGTGTTCCCTCTGGCGGTATGGGCAAGAAAGCAAATTAACAAAATTAGAAGATCATTCTTGTGAAAAGGTGATGAGAACGCCAATGGAGGGCATTGCTTGGTAAATTGGGCGACAGTCTGCATGCCAAAAGATTTGGGAGGGTTGGGGGTGCCAAACTTGGAAAAATTTGGAAGAGCCTTACACCTACGTTGGTTGTGGCAAGAGTGGGTTCATGACTCAAAACCTTGGGTAGGGACGACACTGCCGTGCAATGACCTAGACCGTTTGCTCTTCAACGCCTCAACAACGATAACAATTGGGAATGGTAACAAGGCATGTTTTTTGCATCACAATTGGCTAGACGGTGAAGCTCCAAGATACCTAGCGCCCCATCTTTTCCAGCTAGTGAGCCGAAAAAACAGGACGGTTTGTCAGGAACTACAAAATGGTAATTGGATCCACTCCCTCAGGTCGCGAATCACAACATCGATACAAGAATTCGTCGCCCTCTGGTTCAGGATTCAGGAAGTGCAGCTCACGCCCGATGTGCAGGACTCCATAGTGTGGAGATGGACAACTGATGGAAACTACTCCACACGTTCGGCATATAACATACAGTTCCAAGGTTCACACTGCAAGTTCCATGCTGATCTCATTTGGAAAGCAAGTGCGGAAAATAAATGCAAGATACATGCCTGGGTACTAATGCACAACAAAATCCTCACGGCGGATAACTTGCAAAAGAGAGGGTGGCCACATCATGAGCATTGCGTCTTGTGCAATGGACCTTTGGAAACATGACTGCATCTATCTTTGCTGTGCCCCTTCGCTAAAGCTGTCTGGAGCCAGGTGTTATCTTGGGAAAACTTTGATGTGCAACTACCCCAACAAGATCCCCAATGCCTGGCCACCTGGTGGGAGGATGTGGCGAGCATGGTGCCAAAGCAAGAACGCCGAACATTTAATGGAGTGCTCATTTATGTTGTGTGGAACCTGTGGAAGGAAAGGAATAGGAGAATTTTCAAAAACGAGTACAAAACGTCGGAACAGGTCGCCTATCTGGCCAAGGAAGATATTGTTCAGAGGCGTAGGGCCATGTGTAGTGCGGGCTAAATCAACAAGCGCATGAGCGGTGGCTTCTGTGTGTTGGCTCTATGTCCGGTGTTTGAGTTGGTCCTATGACCAGGTTTTTGGCACCATTGGTGCTTGTACATAAAACTCTATTTCCTTCTTAATTGAGCGGCAGAGCTCCTGCCTTTACTTTCAAAAAAAAAAAGACTGCCAAGACTCTAACTCGAGAAAATCAAAAAGCTTAAGTTAATGGGGGAAAGATGGCCAATTCACTCGTACTTTAACAATGCCTAGCAAAATTTTATTCAACAGTAATTCCATCATACACTAAATTGTCAAATATCAGCAGAGATTTGGTTCAGATTTTACATATAGCATTATCAACTTGCAGCTACCTAAAGATAAGGTAACTAGCTGATCCATGGTGCACTCAGAATACTAGTACGATGCAAGCGTATTCACAATCAGATTGTGTCTTGAAAAGTTGATGTGCTAAAGATTGACTACAAGTTTGCCTATGAATGAATTTCATAACCATCGCAATACTCTAGCTATACTACAGACTGAGGAAACCTGACAAGAAATTCAAAGTTTCAGGCATAAAATAGATGTTTCAAACATTACAGGATATGAGCTCTGGAGTTCCCGCATCATCTGTGCCGCATCAGGATGGAAAGATGAGAAAAAGACTGGTCTGTTCCTAGCATACTGAAAAACAACCTGCCAAAATGATTCGACACCCTTATTGACATCAGTCATTATCCCTTAGTGCTGCAATGATGTGAATAGACTGGATGCAAATAAATTGATACTGTATTAAGCTCTATATGAAGTAGGGGAAAAGGCTGTACTTGCAATACAGCATTAAGAGCACACTCAAGGTCTTTGCTGTGATACATAATGCTGTCATCAAACTTCAGCTCAATGTTAAATCCCAGGCGAGGACTGACACGTTGAAAGACCTCTTGCAATGTGCAAAGAGAATCATCTTCCTCTGTACTCCAATTAAGGACTCTACCATCTCCTGCCCGTCTAAGTAAAGGCTTGGAGATCTGAAAGGCCAGTGCAAAGGAGAGTGAATATATCAGTGCCTTGAGCATGCATTCATGGACTTTGCATGGAAAAAAAATAGCAAGAAGGTATGACACCTTGTGAGGTTCCTTTTGTGTCCCATAAGAGAGGAAATCTTCCAAGAGAAGATCAGTAACACGCCTTTCACATACAGCTCCCTACACACCATGCAACAACAATCAGCTTTAACTAAAGAGTTTTTTGCCCCTACAATAGATGAACAGGATAGTACAGAAACAAAGCTAGGATGGGTAAAAAGAACATACAATCCCTTGTGTTAGGATGAAGTCATCATGGAATATTATTGGGCAGCCATCTTTTGTGACCTGTAAACGAGGTGGTGAGATTAACGGTTTCTTCATCAGATCAGTCTGGTCTCATAAACTCAGACTTCAGAGACAACATGGTCAACGTCATGGAGTGCAAACTGTTCAAGAGGAATCAACCAGGTGAACTACACTTATATAAAATCTTAAAATGGAAAAAGGAAAAAGGCAAATCGCGCGCAGTATATGCTACTGATCGCTTGGCTTATAAGCCGTACTTTTTCAGCCAATGAACAGTATTTTTCTCTCACAATAAATCAGCCAACAATACTTTTAGCCATGGCTTATCAGCCAAGCGAACAGGGCAAGTTGCCAACTGCACATACTTATTTGGCAGGTGCTTGCTGTTGAGAATGCTCTAATTAATCATACCTTTGACCACCAGATTAGTGGTAAGTACTACAAGAATTTAAACAGAAACACCTCTAGTATTTGTGTATTTGACAATGAACACCTTCAAATCCTGACACTCGCCGCATGCAGAACTTCAGCAGAAGAGAACATTTACAGTCAGTCCACCACCATCATCGTGGTACAATCGTGTGTACCATATCATACTACTAGGACTCGAACAGAAGTCGCAATATGCTCACACATTGCAAGATTGTGACACAGAGTAATCAGTTTCACAATCCAGTTCACAACATGTTTGCTTATTTGCTTGCTTTTATTTGGCTAGCCAGAAATCTTTGCATATATATGAGTAACGCACTGCAACCATGTGCTGCACAACATCCAAGTCCCAAGTCCCAAATGGAGAATAGTCATGAAGTTCGCAACGAAATTAGGTGGCAGTGGCAAGTTGCATCCACTAGAGCACGCGTTTCCATTATTGCGACACGGACCGGGGAGGGCCCAGCCGCCCACATTTTTGATCGACCGCACTACCGCAATTACCATTCTCGCATCGCAATGCTGTGGTGTAACTGCAACCTCCAATCCAAACCCGAACAAGGTCCCAAACGAGACACCGAGGCGCGCACCTGCACGTCGAACTCGATGAAGGCGACGGCGGCGTGCGCGGCGGCGCGGCCGAAGGAGAGCAGCGTGTTCTCCCGCTCCCTGGCGGCCCCGACGGGCGCCCCGGGCGGCGCCCCCACCGCGTTCATCCCCATCCCGCGGTGGCCGCCCACCACCATCGCCCGCTCCGCCACCAGCGCGAACGGCAGCTCCCGCTCCCTCCTCCCGCCGGCCGCCGCAGACGGCAAAGACGAGGACGCGCTCGCCGCGATCCGGCAGAGGCCGACCGCCGCGCGGGTCGCCGCCAGGCCCCGGAGCGCCATTTTGGCTCCCCGCCCCGCCCCGACCGCGTCGCGTCGCGTCGCGCCCGTTTCCCGATTTGGCAACGCTGGTGTCCGAATACTTTTGTTTGAATATTTTTAGACCCCGTTGACCGTGACCCGCAACCGCCGCCGCCGGGCGGGCGGAGCGACGAGAGAGACGGCTCGCGGAATGTTCCGCCGCGGCGCGGGTTTATTCGGAAGGCATATTCCGTTTGAACCGACAAGAATATTCTTTCTGGCGTCTGGAGTCTGAACTCCAGCTGGGTGGATTGTGGCCCCGTAAAGCCTAGTAGCGTTTGAAGACGGCCCAGAACCAAATCTACTTGGGCCGTACTGCTCTGTTTATTAATTAGTGGGTTGGGTTGGGTCGAGAAGATTTTCTGGCCCAGTGAGAACGGAGAGAGTTCATCTTTCATCTCATCGTGACGTCATCATCACAAGTATACTCCAATATACTAGTACTAGCCGGCGGCGGCCGCATCCCCATCCCTTCTGCAAGCAAAAACCGAGCTAGGGTTTTAGGGAGAGAAAGAAGCAGACGGAGGCGACATGGACAACCCCGAGATGCAGCGATTCCTTCAGGTGAGAACTTGTTCCTCCCGCTCGTGAATCGTGATGCGTTATCGGCGGGCGTGCGCTGCTGCTGCTGCTGCTGCTGCTGCTGCTGCTGTTGTCGTCATGTAAGGGCCGAGTTCTGCTTTTTATCTGGGCATGCGGCTGTTGATTTCGCCGGCACCGATTTGCAGTGATCGGACATGGATTCGTGGCGGTCTGATGTGCTGCTGTGATTTTCTGTGTTATAGCTTCATGTGCAGTGTAGGGGATGGTCAATTTGTTTGTAGCTGTAGCACTGCCTCGTTATGCAATCAGTGTTGTATCTGAAGCCTCTCAAGAGGCATCGTTAAGGGGGCGAGGTGATTGACTTGGTTCTGAGCAGGGCGAGGTGATTTGACTTGGTTCTGAGCATTCCCGTTTTGGTTAGCGATGGCCGATTAAGGTTTTAATTTTTTCAGCTTAGCTGCTCTAGGTTCTGAACATTGTGGTCTTGGTTTGTTCAGGTGCTGTGCTAGCCTGCTAGATGATTACAAGGTAGATTTGAGATTTCACTTTTTGACCAGAGGTGATCTAGCTGCACAGAGTTTGTTGTTAGCTCAGTGAATTAGATTCTTCCCTGTTCGCTTCGCTGAAAAGAAAAGCTGAAAAGTACCATTCGCTGATTTGTTGTGAGAGAAAAACATTGTTCCTTCGCTGAAAAAGTACGACTGATAAGACAAGCAAAGTGGTAAAATGCTTCATTGGTTACCTTGTTAGCTATAAGGTGCTCATCATCCATAGAGTTTATGTCCATACATCATATTACTGTAATATTATATACTTGAGGCAGAGGCACTTAGTGTGAGTGATTTTTGAAAATTGCAAACACACTCTGATCGTATCTGGCAGAGAACCTGCTCCCATAGCTTTGACTGTCGTCCTACCCTGCGACCTATAAGAACTTGAAAGTTAGATTCTGTTTTCTGTTAACTCTTATTAAGCCAGATCTTCTTGATTATCGGATCATTAGTTAATTCTGATTGGACCACGTGCTGTAGTTTTGTTAGCTAAGTGAGTATTATTACTTTGCACATATAAGCAAATTAAGGAGCTGAGAACCTAGTATTTCAAGTTTATGGGGGCTTAGCTGTGGCTATCATGCAAAGTTTAGATGCCAACTGTGAAATTTGCTAGCCATTCTCCATGTAGGTTTGCATAGTTTTGTTTATAGTGATGAAATGTGTTAACTAAAATAATAACTAAAGCAAATGTCTATCAGGTGTTACCTAAGTAGGGGATGTCGTAATTAGTCACTTCAGCTCTTAGAGAATAATCTTAGACCTTAAATTTAGGCCATGCTCACCGTTCTGTGGAGCTACTGTTTCAGATCATGAAACATATGCTATATTAAGCTTTTATCTACTTGACATCTTGACCTCCTCCTCGCTAGCCATGTATTGCAATTTCAGTCTTTCCTTGATTCCTCTCTTTTGTTATTTTTCCTTCACAAGCAATCACATTGCTTATTTTAGATATTGCATGATATTTGATATAGCTGTAATAGCAGTACTACAGCATGATATTTCATTTCCTATGTTTGCATATGGGAATGAAATTTTGTTATTGATGTGTATTGTACTCAGCATTTACTGGCGGGGTATATGATTTGTTGCTCAAGATTGTGCATTCATACCGTTACTTGATGATAATAGATACTTTGAAATCATTTACCGCTTCTCCAAGTATGTTTAGATGATGGTTTTTCATCTAGATATGCAAGTGTTATTCTGCGTCATTGCATGTTTATTGTATCTTCAGTAGCTTAAAGAGTCAGGAAGTAAACACCCAAACATTTTCATGTTGGATTGCATTGCATTTATACCAAGAGACATGAAGCTGTTCATATTTCACATTTGAACCTTAATTTTTTGATGGCACATAATCCCCCATTGCTTGATGATGCTATCTCCTGTTGCATTCCTTCAACCTAACCTTGGTCTCCCATTTGATTTATTTGAGCTAGCATGCACATGCTCGTTATCGTCTGTATCTGTATGTGAAAAATTCTTACCCCAGTTTCTGCAACACTGCAGCAAGAGCAGCAAAAGGCGATGATGAACGAGATGGTTGGCAAGCTAACGAGCGTGTGCTGGGATAAATGCATCACCAGCGCTCCCGGGAGCAAGTTCAGCTCTGGGGAATCAACCTGCCTGACCAACTGCGCCCAGAGGTTTCTCGACATGAGCATGCTGATTGCCAAACGCTTCGAGATGCAGTGAGGCGGCATCGCTCAAAGCTGTTGCCAAGTCAATCACCCTAAGTTTTTCTTTTGATTTGAGGTTCCATTGAGCATTTCGAACGATTCAACAGAGAGTTTAATGTACTTTCAATATCTTATCTATTGCCTCGTTGGGCAACGTGTTAAAGTGTGATTGAGCCGATTGAAACTGGATTTGTAACTTTTAAAATTTGTTTTACCTCCCATCTCTCATAGTTCATAATATTTAACTTTAAAAATTAAATGCCTGAGTGCTAACTGAACGTTTTGCTCATGCAACTCTAGTTCTTAACTACTGTTAATAAACACCTCACCATTTGCTTGTCGCCCCCGCCGCGTCCTCCCTCATCTCCGCCGTCTCGTTTAATAAAATCTCTCATGTCTTATACCTGGTGCGGTGCTTTGCGAGCATTCTAAAACGCCCGCCCAAGGAGACGATCCTCCTCGACGGGTGCATGGATTTCAGTTTGACATCACACGCTCGATAACACATTAAGACCCTCGCCCAAGTCGTCGGGAGGTTATATGAATTTTTTTTTTTTTTTAGTTGTTGTTGGTGTGCTAGGACTGATAAAAGTGCTCTGGTGTAGCTTGACTGTAAGAGTGCCGAGTAGTAGTGTTTGATTTAGTGGCACTAGGACGTTGGATCTCTACAGCTTGATCAGTTCTGTTGGTATTTACTAGCATGCGGGCCTTATCGCATTCATCTTGATAAAATTGTCATGATAATCATCAGGCATGTTAATAATAATAATTGGGAACTATGTAGCTGAAGATAAATGGTATGTTTCCAAGTTTTTAGATTTGTCAACATTTGTCATTTGAGAGCTCACGGCCCAAATATGTCTTGGTTTTGATGCTATAAACTTGAAGCCCATGTGCGCGTCGACACCTCCTACTAATTGATATTTCTGCCCAGCTAATAGAAGCAATTAAACAGCCCAAACAGCTACCTCATTCGCCTAATAGTACTAGAATTTCTGGAATAAGAGCGTCTCCGAGACTACCAACAGCACTTACCTAAATAAAAAAAATCTGCTGCTGTCATCTTTTCAAATTTGTTCTTTCATTTGGTCCAGTTGTGTGAGTAGGACATTAGAGTTTTATAATATTTGACTTTAAAAAATGCAATTAAATGTCGGATCTCATTTGATTTTTTTTCTGTCAACTCGTCATTTTTTTTGCCCTTGTAGCGCTTTCCTCATTATAGGAGTAGGAAGTAACTCATTGTCGCAATGTTTGTCTTTGGAATCTTATGCCTCTTAATCATTTGCAGAGTTGCCCAAGGTCCGCTGGGCGCTGTACTGTAGGACTATGGAGCAGCGCGATAATTAGACTATGGATGTTTTTCTTGCCCACTAATTTTCTTTTCTATAGCCACATTCTCTTTGTTGCTGTTGACACTTTATGTCTTTTTTGCTCTAATATGCTGAATTGAGATCGAGCTTCATGATTTTCTGCCCACTAAATTTTCTTTTCTAATTGAGGCCTGTGATTTTCTTTTTTCTATAGGCCTGTGATGTAAAGATGTCAGTCCTTAGGGGTAACTTATAATGAGGTGCTTTGTTAAATCTCTCAGGAGATATAATATGGTTTGCATCTCGTATGTGTTCCTTCTTGCGTCCAATACAGATATGACCACACCCATTGTTTGATCAACTATGCATGTATGCCTTTACAAGCTATATATTTCAGACTCTCTTTTTTTATGTCTTGCGATGAAATTGTGGGTGATCATTGTTTATGTCCACCCATGTTTGGACAACTGATTCTGTGAGTGTCAACTTATATTGTTGAAAGTACATTTCTGTGAATGGACTCACCATTCAACGAGTTGTTGACACCTTCTACTTCCTGTTTCAGGAGAACCCTTCATAAAAATGGTGAAGCTGTTCCTTATGATCCTAAATACCATGAGGAGTGGGTGAGACACAACCTACATCGTGGTGGTGGCGGCCCAGGCTACCAAGGCGAAGGAAGCGACTGGGACGACCAAGGCAAAGGAAGCGACTGGGACGACGGAAGCGACTCGGACTACCAAGGCCAAGGAAGCGACTGGGACGACGACCAATGAGCATGCCCAGGAGTATAACTGTATATAAGCAGGCATCCCTGTTCCAGAGTAGCCTTCTGGAAGAGGAAGATGGTGTGAAGCTAAGTATAAATGGAACCATTGTTGCCGTCTGATTTTCATGGATTGTCGCAGTAGTCTCCTAATTATTACATGTTTTATAATAATACCTGAACCTCTGAACCTGTTGGATGATGGTATGCGTGGTATGTACCATCTGCTCTTGTATGCGCTTGCTGAACCAGATAGTTCGCAGATGCCATAGTAAGCTTCGTCTGTCCTGTTCGTTTGTCGCTGGAGTGCACGATTGAGATGTTTGGTCGGATAACTGAATGGTTGGTTAACCACCAGCTTGTTACAAGCCATTTCACTCAAATTATGTGATGTTTGGTGATCCATTCCATCATGTGTACGAAAAGCAATCACTTGTATGCTAATATTTGGTGATTTCATTCAATCAAGTATTATGGGAAAACCAATCACCTGTATGCTGATGTTTTGTGATTGGCGACTCATACCCGTTCCATCCAGTACATGAAAACCAATCACATCTTTGCAGTTTCTTCACGCAAGCGGCCAATCACTGGTTTCTCGGCCCAGGCCCAACTGCAGCGGAGCGGAGGTCGGTCCACGACCCCAGAAGAACATCCGGGCCCACCACTCCGGCCAGCCGCGCGCTGCCCACGGCAACTGCTGCTACGCGCACCCCGAGACGTCCACCCCCGCCTGCGCGCGCGCAGGCGCAGACGAACGGGACCGAGACGAGACGGGAGACGACACGCGCGCACGTCCCAAAGCCAACTCGAGAGCGAGGTGGAGGACCGGAGGAGAGGAGAGGAGAGGAGAGGAGAGAGCCCACCACCCGCGACCTAACCCGGACCGGAGACCTCTCCCCTCCCAGCCAGGCTCTCCCACCCACCTTTCCCCTCTCTCCCTCCTTCCTCCCCGTCCTGCGTCGCGTCCCACGCCGCCGCACCCCTGCCTCCGCGGCAGCGCTCCTCCTCGCTGTACGGACGTCGGGGAGGCCTCGCTCGGGGGAGGGCTGGCTGGCTGGTTGGGTGGCAGTCGGCCGTAGAGGAGGAGCGGGCCGGAGGAGCTTGATCTCGGGCACCTGCCCCCGGGCGCCGTCGGGATGTACGTGCCGCCGCTGCCCACCGGCGGCGCCGGCGAGCAGCCTAGGGTTTACCAGGTCTGGCGGGGAAGCAACGTAAGAAATCTCTACCTGCCACCCCCTCCTTCCTCTCCCCATCTGCAGTGATCCGTGAGACGGTGGTGGTATTGTAACAGTCGATTTTGCCCCGTACCTGCTGGTACTGCGCGGATTGCGCGGGCGATTGCTTGATTAGGGAATTATTTATGGTCCTGGTCCATGTTGTTGCAGTAGCTCCTGTTGTGCAAGTCCGTATGCAGGCTGGAACAGCGGGGATTTTGCGTGCTTCGTATTGTGTTTTGGCGTATTGGATAATCGGAAAAACGATTAGTAGCTCAGGTCCTGGACGATTCTGTGAGCTCTTAACTTCCTTTGATTTGAAATGTAGGTCCCTACTACAAAACATACACGCATAATTATACCTGTAGTCACAGAAAACAGGGTCGAAGGCAGCGACGCTGAACGTCATCCCCGACCGGGATTCATGGGATTGTTTTTGACCTTTCCTTGTTAAAACCTCTTGCAAGTAGCATACCACGTTCCTCGACCCTGTCGACTGGGGAACTTTGTGACTATGGTTGTGCCCATTGCTCCATTCACTCATAGTTGTACCCCACCGTTGTGAGAAACTCTCAGCGTCATGATGTATGCATAATTTTTTAGTTATATCAGAGGAATAATTCCTTGATCAGGACGTTCAGTAGAATTCAGTTGGAATTGTTTTGTACCAGTACACCATCTGCAACTTACCTGTGGCATCGGCCTGTAATGTATAGTGGATCTTCTTCGTAGTGCCTAATAGGGATTTGAAACAGTTTATGAGTTTTTTTGGTGAAAAATGAAATGGGCATCTATACAGAAGTCTAAGCCATAGGATAAAGGCTGCCACGTGAAAACCTCAATTTGAGTTACTGTTTCTTTGTTGTCATGTGAGCTATAATCAACCTTTGTTGTACCCTGATCCCTTCATCAGCATATTTCCAGTGCCAGCAATTAAAAACTATATGGAGAAATAAGCAGGTAACAGGCTGAATCCACCAGGCAGGCACAAGACACATGAGTTCACTGGATTGGAGCATGGTCCATCAGAATTGGAATTCTATGGATGCATACCTGTTCTGTTTTATACACTTCAAATCTTCTGTTACAGTTTTATACCTTTTCCTTCAATTCCTTGATCATTTCATTTGGCATTGTTCGAAACTGACCCATGCATCTACTGGGGAATCAATAGTTTTCTGGCTATTGCTAATATTTTCATGAGCGGTGGCCATGGTTATTAAGGCATCGCCTAGGCGATAAGGCGTGCTGGAAATCTGGGCATCCCCATCGCCACTACCAAAAGTCTGCGAAAAGAGAGGGATGAAGGGAGAACAGAGGAAGAACGAGAGGGTAGAGGGCAAGCAAGGCCAAGAACCTGCAGCTGCTGCCATCCCCGCTGTCTCTGGCGCTTGTGGCTGGCGCAGCACTTGCTGCGGTTAGCTGCATCACAGCCGATCTGGAAGGGGACTGCAGCAATTGTTGATTTGAGGGTGTAGAGCAGTGAGGAAGAAGCAGGAGGGAGAAGTTTTGGGCGGTGGCGCATCTGGAGAACGAGAGAGAGAAGCAAGCTGCGCTGAGGGAGGGAGGGAGCACTCACACGAGGTAGAGGGCGAGTGGCGGCACTGGGAATCGGGGTGTCCATCTGATGTATCCATGTAGGTCACGCTAGGGAGTAGGGAGTATAACGTGTTCTGGCTGGTGGGCTGGCTGATGGGCTGGGCCAGCCCCTTCTTACCCCTTCCTCCTCTTTTTCTTTTTTCTTTTCTTTTTTCTTCTCAGCCACCCTGTTGCAATTTTCAAGATTGGTACGGCATCACCTTTCCTCGCCTTATCACTGCCTAGGCGATTGGAAGGGGTTGACTCGCCATAACTCGCCTTGCCGCCTTAATAACTATGGCAGTGAAATCATTTTCCTGATATATTTATAATTGTTTGATTCCATGTAGTTTTGGCTTGAAAGTATGTTGTCACACGCCTGATGGCACCTCCCCAGCCCATGGCCAATGGGCCAGCCGCGGCCCAGGAGGGGGGCGCTGCGCCCAGCGCCGACGGCAACAGCGGCGGCGGCTCGGTGCCTCCTTCCCTTGAAAGGAATTAGGAAAATAGAAATAGAAATGAATTAGGAGATTGGAGTTTGGTTTGTTTAGGAAAGGAGAATCCAATCTATAAGGATATCTCCTCTAGTTACTTGAGACACAAGTCCATTAAGGACTATAAATATAGGGTATTGTACTCATTGGAAATCAAGAAAGAATATCCCTAGGCTTGTCTCCCCCCTCTCTCTCTCGCCGCCACCCCCTCCTCCTCCCCCTGCGCCGCCCCCTCCTCCCCCATAGCCGACGCCAGCACCCTCCCCTGCCCTAGCCGCCATCCCCAAGGGCCCCAGCCCAAGTGACGTATTACATATGTGTTTTCACAAGTTTGAAAATATACTTCTGTATCTTCCATAGTCGCATTTTGCAACCTATCAAGCTTAACTGCGAAGTGAATATGTTTTTTATTTAGTTTGAGTTCTCAACCGTTGCTAGATATTCATCCCATTGCCTGTCTAGTAGTCCACTCTGTACTTAGCTAACAGAGTGCGCATAGGCTTTTCTGAAGAAAATCTGAATTATGTGGAAACCAGTATTTCATATTTACTATGGTTTCTTGCAAGTGGGTATTTTGGGCTTTGTTGATGGCTTTTCACATTTTGTCTTTGCCATTTGCAGGAATTCTTCTTGCAGGGAAGATTCATATTTGGGCCTGATGTGAGATCTGTGTTTCTCACTATGTTCCTCATCATTGCACCGGTGGTTGCCTTCTGTGTGTTTGTCGCAAGGCATCTCATAAATGATTTCCCCAATAGCTGGGGAATCTCAGTGATGGTAGTAGTGGTTGTCTTCACCATTTATGTAAGCATACTACTGCATTGCTAAGTCACATAGTTGTTACTTACCATAAGCAATTGATCTTTAGCCATTACTTCTCCCATGAATAACACTTTTCTTGTGCTTGCTTATCTGCATCTTTCATTAATATCACTTGACTTGTTGATGAGCTTGTACAATTTTCAAGGAAATCTTCACTTTCTAAGTGTACATATAACTGAACACATTTTCTTTTACCAGGATTTGATGCTGCTTCTTTGTACCTCTGGTAGAGATCCTGGTATAATACCACGTAATACTCATCCTCCTGAACCTGAATCCATTGATGGGATCAATGATACGGGTGTTCAGACTCCACAACAATTTCGTTTGCCTCGCACAAAGGAAGTTGTTGTAAATGGGATCAGTGTACGGGTCAAATACTGTGATACTTGCATGCTGTACAGACCACCTCGATGTTCACACTGTTCCATTTGCAATAACTGTGTGGAACGGTTTGATCATCACTGTCCATGGGTTGGCCAGTGCATAGGACTGGTAAGTTACTCCAGATTGCTTGCTGTTTTATAGGCGTCCTTATATTAGAACAAGCGTGCTGTGCACATACATTTGAATTGATATTCAGAGCTACCCTTTCTGGGTACATTTTCATTTATTTTTTTTTTAATTTTGTTGACAAACTTTCTATGTCTTTTGTTAAGCCTGATCATCAATGTATTTGTGCAGCGTAATTATCGGTTCTTCTATATGTTTGTCTTCTCGACGACATTGCTCTGCCTGTATGTATTTGCCTTCTGTTGGGTGTATGTGATCAAGATTAGAGACGCTGAGCAATTGTCACTTTGGAAGGCCTTGTTGAAGACACCAGCTTCAATTGTTCTGATTATCTACTGCTTTCTTTGTGTATGGTTTGTGGGTGGTTTATCTGTCTTCCATTTATACCTGATGAGCACTAACCAGGTAGGTCCAACTTTCATTCCAACTCATCTCATTGATGCTGCAACTGCAGTTCAGTAGCCTAATCCTTTACCCATTTTCCTTGTAGACAACATATGAGAATTTCAGGTATCGCTATGATCGGCGCGATAACCCATATAACAGAGGTATTCTGAACAACTTTCTAGAGATATTCTGCACTGCTATTCCCCCTTCGAAGAACAATTTTCGGGCAAGGGTGACAGTAGAGCAAGGGCTGCAGCAAACGCGCTCACAGTCTAGAGGTTTCATGAGCCCCAGCATGGGCAAGCCCATTGGAGATCTTGAAATGGGCAGGAAGCCAGTAGTACCTTGGGACGAGCCAAGGTCGGCGGCTGATATCAGGGACTTGGAAGCAGGGCTTGGGGGCATGTTTGATGAGAAAGAGGGCAGAGTAGCCCATGCATCCCCAGATCTGAGCAGAGATCTTCCAGCAGAGTTTGTGGAAGGCCGATCTGGCATGCACTCGAGGCAGTCAAGTTGGGTTCAGAGAGGAGGTGATGCAATTGAAGCGTCGGCGGTGCAAATGGATAATGCCCGCACCACCGAAGCTAGCAACAATGTTGCCTGGAGCGGCACACATTAGCCCGAAAAAGGACAAAAAAAAGGAACTTATGGTGTGTTTCAGTTGTGCCTCGAGGTGGGTGTTGGTGGTGATGTCTCGAAGTGAACTGCCATGTGTTTAGTTTATTGCCACGTGTGCCAGGGCAAGGCCCTGGATCATTGTAATCCTAAACACAAGCTTGCTGGTGTTGTTTTATCCCTGGTAGTGCATCAGATCCCTGCTGTTGTTGGTGTTGTTTGTTTGGGTGTTTTAACAAATTAAAGTAGCCGACGAGCTTAAGCTCCCGCCCGGTTTGGATGATGTATGTGTATATAACTAAATTATTATCAGGTTGCAACGGATGCTGTGCTTGGTTTGCCACACCACTGCTGTGCTTTGGGTACTGGGAGTGGCATCTGGGTGCCCCAAGGTAAGATTACTCTTGGTGTAACCACGGTGAAAGCACCTGGAAATCTGGTCTGTATGGTAGGCATTGTTGTATCGCAGTTGAAGGATAATCTGTATGGTTGGCATTGTCGTATTGCAGAGGTGGACATGATACTTACTAGTGTAGAAGAATGATATATTCTGCTCAGGAGGAATTGGTTTTGAACTTTTTGCAGGACATGTAGATAGAGGTTACTCTTGTTGCGTGAGCGGCTGAGCGCACCCCAGGGATGGCTCTGGGCCTCTGGGGAGCAGCAGCAGGCAGGCCTGGTACCGTCATGGTAGCCGATGGTCTCTGCAAGATCACGAATGCAATGCCAGCCGGCGTCCATCGGCCTCTGCAAGATCACGAACGCAATGCCAGCACACCGCACAAATCGCCTGACCCCGTGGGCTTGCTGGCCCCTGACTAGAAATTGCTGGAAATTGAACAAAAGGAAGATGGAGCTGCTGCGCCGTAGCAGATCGTTGTCAGGCCGACCTAGGCTTCGTCAAGTCGCAGTCGCAGTCGCAGTAGCATGCATCCTTGGGGCCTGGGGGCTGGGGCTGGCAGCCTGGCACGGACACTACTGCATTGCTCTGGTTGCTGCTACTGGGTAAATGCATGCGGTCGATGATGAATTGATGATGTGGTTGGTTCTGAGCTTGCATTGAGATAGGCCTAAAGTCGCCCACTTGCATTGAGAGAGGCAATAATAATTGTACTGGTAGCCTGTGTGACTCCAAGCAGGCGGCCTTCCAGACCACCGCCGTCGAGTCGTCGACGGATTGGTGTGCTGCATGCAGCTCGTCATCGCACTAGCAACTACCACCGCGCGGCGCGCGCGTGCATGCTCCCACCCATAGTACTACACTGTAGTGTAGTAGATATTCTCATATTCATTCCTGTTGCATTGCACTTGCACCGCACCGCAGCTCAGGTATAGTACTCCTGTCCATGACGAACTGGAAGCTGCTTGGAGACGAGACGAGAGAGAGAGTGGGACCGATCGAGTCGTCATTCCATTCCCCGCGAGATTCAAACCAGCCGTCGGATCGGACGACCTCACGCGGTGCGCGGCGGGACCAAGTGGCTCAGCCAACCGAACACGCCGTAAAGAGATGATGAGAGTTGCTGGGTGGGTGACCGTGACCCGGCGTCCCGGCCGGCCGGGCAGTGGTGCGTGCGTGCAGTCGGTCACAATCTCTGAGGGCAGTAGCGACAGTGTATTGACGATAGTTTCTATCCTTGATATGACAACGTAATTAATGAAGAAAAAGAGCAAAAATCCTAGAAATGGTTTCCTCACGAAGAAATCAGGTCTTCTCTTGACCCAATGCACCAAAAAACCATGAAATCATCATTGGGGAGAAACCACCAGTTTCTAAGGGGCTCATGCCGCACTCCCATTAGAGAAAGAAGATAGAGTTGGGAGAGAGAAAGAGAAAATAATTATTACTCATAGAAACTATGAGTTGAAAAACAGTAATTTTTTGATGCAGCATCTTATGTTATAGAAATTACTGGTTCTTTCATTGGACTGCCCTAATGGATGGATCATCCATCCATCTGGTAGGTGTAGGTGTAGGTGGGACCGATCGAGGCCGCCTACAGCAGTACAGCTGCACTACATACGGATACAGCCGCCCAATACCGATCGAAACTAAACTAGTGATTGCAGCTGGACGAGACCACGTCCGGGTCCGCCCGGCCGACGATCCATGGTGGCGGTGCAGTGCCACCAGTGCAAGATGCACGCTTCGTACGTACGGTGCGGCGATGGGTCGCAAATGCAAATGGCCGCCGTCGATCGATTTGTCGGTTGGCAGTGGCAGTATAATGCATGCAGTGCCCTCCAGCTTGCGATGCAATATATGTATTTGGCGGCGCTTCAGGTTAACGTACCCGGGCACCACGACGACCATGGATCGCGAGTTCGCCACAGGAACTAGCTGCTACTACTCACAGGATCCGCACGTTTCTAATTGGGCCCACGCCCATCCATGCATCCACCCGCCCGCTTTTGCTCGTTGCCGTGCGTTCGGCGCCCTCTAGTGTAGCGTTGCTGTTCCCCTGCAGGACTGCAAAGACACGTAGGAGTACGCGGCCGGGAATGTTCTGGCGGACGTGCCGGCCGCCCGGATGCGCCGTGCGTGCATTGTTGTCTTCAGCTCCCGCACCTCACTGCCACTAGAGGTTTCTTTTTCCAAGAGCAACCACAACCTTCAGGCTCCAGCGTTTTACAGCCTGTGCCCTTGAGTGTATTTGGCTTATAAAGGCATGGCTTATCAGCCAACGAATAATATTTTTCTCTCACACCAAATCTATCAACAGTACTTCCATAACTTATAAACTAAATCGGCCCAATGGAACAGGGCGTTATGCCATGCCACCGTGAGAGTCCCTGAGCCGGGAATATTCCTCTCTCGATCCACACGTTGTGGCAGTCGAGCCAACCAGAATCGAGCAGAGCAAAAGGCCAGGCCTCGTTTACTTTGTAAAAAAAAGTAAACCCGATGAATAGTACCACTTTCGTCTTATTTGGCAAATATTGTCCAATCGTGGACCAACTAAGCTCAAAAGATTCATCTCGTGATTTTCAACTAAACTGTGTAATTAGTTATTTTTTTACCTATATTTAATACTCTATGTAAATAGCTAAAAATTGATGTGATGAAGAGAGAGTAAAAAAACTTGAAATTTAGATGACATCTAAACAAGACGTTGGATTACCTTCTTCTCAGAACAGAACAGAGCAGAGCAGGAGTGGCCGAGACGTCACTGTTAGTGTCTGAGGCACAAATGGCCGAGACAGTGGTAGTGGGAAGGCGTGCGTACGGGTAAAGGAGAGGCAGCCTAGTCAGTGCCGACGCGTTACAGCAGCACAAGCAATCCTGCCAATCCACCCCAGAAGGCGGCCGCTGGGATCGGACTCCATCGGAGTGACCAACAGCTAGCTTGGCTGGGGCCTGGGGGCCGCGCGCGGCCGACCCAAGTTGTATTGCATTGCATTGGCCGCCGACCGCCGTTCCAATTCGATCCGACGACGACGGCGCCCCTACCCGGTCGGCCCGCCGCCCGCAACAACGTGACTGAACTCAACCGACGATACATCCGGGCAACCATATCGATCAATCTGCTGGTCTCTCCATCCGTTAGCGCCTCCTCTGCATGCGTGCATTTTGCTGGTGGTGGCCAGCGTGACAACGTCTCCTCGTGACTCGACCGTGTCGTATCGTACCGGAACCGATACCATACCGCCATACCCATACCGCTACACTGTGCACACTGTTTTCTACTACTACTGTATGTACATTTGAGGTGCCTGTAGCCTGTCCACTACATTCGGCAAACGGCACTCGGCAAAGCTGTCTTTGTCGAGTATTTTTTTGTCGAGCACTCGACAAAGACATTGCCGAGTGCTAAACCAACACTCGGCAAAAAATATTTCGAAAAATATAAAAAAAAACATCTCAAGCCCGAGCACCATCAGGAGCAGTGATTCCCCGTAATTCCCCAATAACCGCTGATATTAAACAAATTGAAGATGGAATCAGGAGCAATGATGCAGAGGGGATTCAGCCCGCTCATAGGTGGATAGGGAAAGTGGGACGATCGTCCCAGGTGGGGCGAGTTTGCCGGTGCCGAAACTAATGGGTCATCTCGACCGCGGCCAGCCGGCCAGGGCAACGGCAAGCTAATGGGAACCGTGGAGGAAGATGGCGCCGGGTAGAGGCAGCGAGGCGAGTTGCGGTGCAAACCCAGAGGCTGCAGTTGGCGTGCGAGGTCGCCCGTGCGGAGCTCCGCCGCGTGCACCGACGAGTAGCCCTGATGCGAATCGAGGATTCGTGAGGGAGAGATGAAGACGGATACAGGAGATCGTGAGGGAGAGATGAAGACAGATACGCGCTGCACCTGCTTGACGGCGCGCCGGTGGTCGGCTGCGTCACTGTCCTGCCGCGCCACCCGCCACCCCTGCGCAGCCGGCCCGCCGCGCCGCAGGTCCACCGTGTCCCTGGCCTGCCGCCGCCAACCGTGCCGCACCACCTGCCCGCTGCCCCACCCCGCGTGGCCGGCCCGCCGCGCCGCAGATCCGCCGTGTCGCTGGCCCACCGCGTCGCGCTGCCCGCAGTGCCGCCCCGCGCTCCAAGCACCGGCGCACCGCGCCGCCGGCCCTAGCGCGCAGCCTCATCATGGTCACGGGAAAAGGGAAGTTGAGGAGACCGTGTGTTTTGGATAAGGGACGGGAGAGGGAGGGTTGACTTTTATAAGACGCCCAGTTTGCCGAGTGTCGAATCTAGGACACTCGGCTAAGCTAAGTGTGCCGAGTGTCAGATCACAACACTCGGCAAACTTATCTTTGCCGAGTGTCTGCACTCGGCAAACTTTTTTTCCCCATTTCCTTCTTTTCCATACCTTGTCGAGTGCTATGAAAGGATCAAGATGCCCAAGATGGGTGGTGAATTGGGCTAATTCTAAAATTCTTTGCAATAAATAAACCCTACACTTAGCCCACTTCACCCCTTGTGCCTAGAAAGTGATTCTATTGATCTACCACATAAAAGTTTAGCACCCTAAGTTCCAATCCTACTCTAGCATGACAATTCTAAGAATG